GTCTCTGAATATTAGGAAAAATGGCATTTTTGTTCTAATTGGAAGCTTCATTTAAAAAGTCCTAACAAATATAAAGCTTTCTACAATATGCTTTCAGAATGTACAAGTGTTTGTACAATAATTGCCACAATATTGAGGATGAACTCTTCTTTTATTTCATATTAACAATGGTCTAAAAATATATTATTAGAATTATTGAGAAAATGTAGATTATTGCACCTTTTCAAGCACATTTTAGATGTAATTGCTGCATAATTAGGAAATATTTTGTAAAATTTAGATGTTAATGACAAGATCTGGACACCACTAGCTGGCCAGGTATGAATAATGGTTGAGGGGAATTCCCATTACTATTTTTAGTATCAGGTGGCTAAATATAGATTTGTCTCTAAATATTAGGAAAAATGGCATTTTTGTTCTAATTGGAAGCTTCATATAAAAAGTCATAACAAATATAAAGCTTTCGACAATATGCTTTCAGAATGCACATGTTTGTACAATAATGCTACAATATTGAGGATGGATTCTTGCTTCATTTTAAAGCAACTATGGTCTAAACATAGATTACTCGAATAATTGAGAAAATGTAGATTATTGCACCTTTTTTAGGCACTTTATAGATGCCATTGCTGCTTAATTAGGAAGTATATCGTAAAATTTGAGATGTTAATGACAAAAGCTGGACACTATTGGTCGGTGTGGACAATGGTTGAGGGGGTTTCCCAATTCTGTTTTTAGTACCAAATGGCGAAATATAGATTTGTCTCTAAATATTAGGAAAAAATGGCAGTTTTTTACTAATTTGAATCTTCCTAGAAAATGTCTTAAATATAAACCTTTCTACAATATGCCTTCGAAATGAACACTTGTTTGCACAGGAATTGCTACAATATTTAGGACTGACCCTTTTTGTTATACCAACAATGATCTAAAAAGATTCCTAGAATAATCGAGAAAATATGGGTTATTGTACCCTTTCAGGCAATGTTGGAAAGAAAAATCAATGTTATACCGTTAGTCTGGAAATTTTTGCTGTAGATAAATTTTTAGCAAATTTGCGAGCTTATTGCATTTGCAAAAATATTTTTCTTAAAAATAAATTACAAATAAGAAAATGTTAACAAAGCAGTGGTTTATTCGCAAAATTTATAAGCACCATTTTGACCTGAATTCGCAAAATAAAATCGACGTAAAATTTTCCAGATTTACAGTAGACGTTGTGTGACTGAAAAATAATTCCAATCTATTTAGTGAAATGCACACTATTTGAACGTGGGGCTCTCTTTTCTATTTATAGCACATCCAATTATGTGTAGCAACTTCTCAGCAGAAAAAGAAAAATGACAAAGGATTAAAAGGGCTTCATTGATAACATATTTACGAAATATACTGCTGTATTCAACATGTTCAATATGTCATGAGTATAATAAAGTTTTCCTAGTAAAATAATCATGTGACTGATAAGTATAAACTATATGTAATATCGGTAGTTACCGTTAACTAACAAGCATAAAAACAATGATGATAATCAGTTCTACTTATATTTGAAATATGCGAAATCAATGAGGACTTCCAGTTCTATTTATAGAAAAAAAGAACAAGGTACAGTTTCAATACAAAATATTTAAAGCTCTATATTTTTCTAATATATGAAAGTGATATAGGAAATCAAAATTCACTCTTTTTGAATCATAAGAATTCCCTGCAGTAAAAATACACAAATCGTTTTTCTTATATGACCTCCTAAATGCTAATTGTGACGTCATTAACTTGTGTATTTTCCCGTATTTTCTTAAAAAGTTGCAGAAGACATCAATTTTCAGTGGAATATTTTCTTTCAGAAGACATACTCTGCCACTCTCGCCCAGAGAGATTTTTAGATAACCGATATGTAATTTTTCATAGCAGTTTACATAATCCAAAAATTAAAGAAGGCGACGGTGGCTAAAGGAAAATCAGCACAGAAATGAGTCATTTTGAGGCTTTTCTGCATTAAACTTAAAAATGTACCAAATTAATGACGTCATATATCCTGAACGACCCCCCTTCGTGTCATATTCTTTAATGATCTATCATATTCATCTACTCAATGATTGTTAAAGCCAATTTCACAACTTTTTAAGAACATTAAATTTCTAGGGCACAATAAAGCTCAAACCGTACCTTCTTATATAAAAGAGAGCAGAGGGCATCAACAGTCATGAGAGTAACCCTGTAACAGATCAGTGAAATGGCATTTTAACAAGGTCTTGTTATTAGAGATTAGATTCCCTAGTTTCTCCTCTTGTTTATAGAGAAAATCCCTATGGTTGGTACATGTATTAACAAAAATCCTTAGATACTCTGTGACAATTTTGACAAAAAAAAGGTTCTTGAAATATGGTGACTATAAAAAAAAATGCAGACCACAGAAACTGCCATATAGAATACGTTCTTTGAATCTTCGTCTAAAAAAATTAAAAGTCTTTGGACAAAATAAACTTGTAGATGAAAATACAGGTACATTGTCAAAGATTAGAATTAGGACAATCAGGAATTATTTTACAGAACAATTGAAAAGATTTTTAAAGTTTACCTATAAATGGCATAAATATCTATATTTCGCCACGTGATACTAAAATTGTAATAGGAACCCCCTCAAATTTTGTCCACACTAGCTAGCTGTGGCCAGCTACTGTCATTAACATCTCAAATTTTACAATATACTTCCTAATTATGCAGCTATGACATTTAAAAAGTGCCAGAAAAAGTGCAATAATGTACATTTTCTCGATTATTCCAGGAGTCTATTTTTAGACCATTGTTGCTTTAAAAAGAAACAAGAGTTCATCCTCAATATTGTAGCAATTATTGTACAAACAAGTTTTCATTCTGTTGGCATATTGTAGAAAGCATTATATTTATAAAGACATTTTGTACGAAGATTCAAATTAGCATAAAACTGCAATTTTCCCTAATATTAAGAGTACTTCATATCTATATTACGCCACGTGATACTATAAATAGAAATGGGAAACCCCCCCAACCATTGTCCCTACCTGCTAAGTGTTGTCATTAACATCTAAAATTTTACAATATACTTCCTAAGTAATCAGCAATCACATCTATAAAGTGCTTAAAAAGGTGCAGTGATCTACATTTTCTCCATTATTCGAATAATATATTTTTAGACCATTGTTGGTATGAAATGAAACAAGAGTTCATCCTCAATATTGTGGAAATTATTGTACAAACACATGTACATTCTGAAAACATATTGTAGAAAGCTTTATATTTGTTATGACTTTTTATATGAAGCTTCCAATTAGAACAAAAATGCCATTTTTCCTAATATTCAGAGAGATGTCTATTTTTAGCCACCTGATACTAAAAATAGAAAAAGGGGAATTCCCCTCAACAATTATCCAAACCAGCTAGAGATATCCATATCTTGTCATTAACATCTCAAATTTTACAAAATATTTCCTAATTATGCAGCAACTACATCTTTAAGTGCCTGAAAGGGTGCAATAACCTACATTTTCTCAAATTATTCGAGTAATCTATTTTTAGACCGTTGTTGCCATAAAATGATACAAGAGTCCATCCTCAATATTGTAGCAATTTTTGTGCAAACACAAGTACATTCTGAAAGCATTTTGTAGAGAGCTTTATATTTGTTAGGACTTTTTATATGAAGCTTCCAATTAGAACAAAAATGCCATTTTTCCTAATATTCAGAGACATCTCTATATTTAGTCACCTGATATTAAAAATAGAAATGGGAATTCCCCTCATCAATTATCCATACCTGCTAGTGGTATCCAGATTCTGTCATTTACATCTAAAATTTTACAAAATATTTCCTAATTATGCAGCAACTACATCTAAAAATTGCCTGAAAAGGTGCAATAATCTACATTTTCTTAATTATTGGAGTAATCTATTTTTAGATCATTGTTGCCATTAAATGAAACAAGAGTTCATCCTCAGTATTGAAGCAATTTTTGAACAAACACATGTACATTCTGAAAACATATTGTAGAAAGCTTTATATTTGTTAGGACTTTTTATATAAAGCTACCAATTAGAATAAAAATGCCATTTTTCCTAATATTCAGAGACATCTCTATATATGACCACCTGTTACTAAAAATAGAAATGGGAATTCCCCTCAACCGTTGTCCATACCAGCTAGTGGTGTCCAGCTCTTGTCGTTAGAATCTCAATTTTTACAACATACTTCTAATTATGCAGTAATGACAATTAAAACCTTGCCAAAATTTGATTTTTCACATTTTTCTAAAATATATCTATTTATAGATACATGTTACTAAAAATAGGAGCAAAAGCCCACTTATGTTTTTTCATGTTTTTCAAATTTTTAGAAACCATGTCAGTTTGCATGACCTTTTTCTTACAGGAAGAATATTTCTAGAATAAACGATTATATGCTCTGTGTACCTTAAAAGGTCATGTTATCATATGATCCAATGATTTTTGTTAGAGTGTATTAGATACCGATAAATATTCATTTACATTTCTTCTATTTTCATGTTTTCATTTAGTCAAAATGGGCCAAAAATGGCCGAATTCAATGGATCCGTCTCCATGGCAACGAATTGCACGTGTGGAACTTCCGACACCATATTTACTAGTTTTGTACCAAGACACACCTATGGTAAAAATTTCATCAAAATCCGAGACATGTAGTTTCCAAGCCCTATAGTAAATTCGTTGGTGCTTACAGAGAATGCGTGTTAAGACCACACATGACATATTTGGAGCTATTCACTTTGCAATGTAGAATAAATTATTCATGTTTATGACAAAATCTGAAATTTCATAAAAGCCTTCTACAACATGATTGCAACTAACCTTAAAAACGACAATATTTAAGATACGTTTTTATAAGCTTGTTAAATAAACCATATAAAATTTAAGATATGCACGAGCGTATTTGAAGGTTTGTTAAATATTGTCTTTAAAAGGTGGATTTTATGCGTAAAATCTTATCACTCTTTCTCTTGAAAGATTAATTAAAGATAAATCAGATTTAATATATATCTCGAATTCTATTTTTAAAAATAGTTCTCATTTGACTTGTATTAAAGTATCTCTTCCAGCAACTAATTAGTACCTCAACAAATGACGTATGTCACGAAAGAAATTTCAATGGATAGTGTTTCCGGTTTTTATTACGTATTTTGCTGAGTTGTTTTACAAGTTGTTTTCGTAAACTTCTTCATTTGGATTCCGTGCCTGTGGTTTATTCTTTTCTCTTCTATCAACCTCAACGGGAATTTTGAAAATCAGTTGATCTAAATAGCAAAAGAGACTACAACTTACACCTTCAAAATATAATTAATTTGAGATATAGAGGTTATGATATCAGAAAAAAACTTTTAAAAAAAAAGACTTGTTACAATTCTACCAAAATCCATGTTGTACCATAATTATTTTCCTTATATGCAACACCAGATGTTGAGTAAATATTTTCTCTTTTTCTTGATCTGTTAATATGTTTAGATTCATCAAAGAAAGGAAGGGACATCAAAAAAAGTTATCAGAAATGTACTTTACACTTTTATTTGTAGATAAGGTATTTCTTTAAATAAAGAAATACTATTAACAGCAAAATTAATTTCTCCAAAATGCAGCTCATATTATTTTGATAAAGAATAATATTATTTAATCTCTTTTCTTAGAACCAGAGAAATTAATAAATTCAAGAAATCTTTTTTCTTATAATTGGAAAAAGAACTCATAGTTCAAAAGATAAAACAGTATTTACCTGAAAAAATGTATTAGTACCATTACAACTAAAAGAGAGCCGACGACCCCAGTTACAGAACCGATATAAATAGCCTGTTTAGAATTCGAAATATAGCTGCCATCATACAAAGCTGTCGAAAAAAATATTGATTTATTTTAATTGATAAAGTGGTCATGAAACACATTAAAATTATAAAATTAACAAAATAATTTATATAGACATTAAAGGATTTTTTTTCAAAAATGATAAAAGGCATTTGGCAAGTTGTACATGTGTAGAAAGCTTAAACTAAAACTTAAAACATATCACAGGCTTGATGAATTAAGCGCACATTGTTATTAAACGAAACAATACCTATAGGTTGATTGCACATATTCAGCTGTACTGCATTCATCAAAATATCAAAACTCAATCCCACGATTCGAATCCAGATAAATCCAGACATCTGCTCACTATAGTAAAATTCGGTCACTAAGAGCTCGCTTATAATAAATTATCAGTCTCATGGAATTAGTTTTTTGATTCCGTTAAATACTTTCAATTAATTTTTAAAACCGAAATAAATACAAAATTGAAGTATTAACAATTTCTGTTTGAAGGAACCCAAATTGAATGTCCCCTTAACTTCATTATAACTAAGTTTTACTGTACTTATGAAGAATACAATTTTTTAATAGCCGCTTTTTCCTTGGAATCTGACTCTAAAGTACATGTAGTTGGAAAAAATCATATTAACAATATTTTTGATAAAAGTTTAAACGAGTGTCAACTACAAATTTTTGAAAAATATGTATAATTTCAAATATTTGAGTCTCGAAACAAAGTTTTATCTTACAGAAAATGGAAAATTCGTGTAGAATACAGAAATGTCTCAACCTTTACCTCTGGGCAGCTGTATCTGTATGGTCACGATATTTTTTATCTCATTACAGGCAATCACAAGATATCAAATCATATCTTTACCCTCTACTTTTCAAGTGTTTTATCCGTTGGTCTGTGCTTTTCACAAAAATATGTTATACAAAATTTACATTTAATATTATTATAAGTTCCAAATTCCGTTTTGTGGGTATTTGAATCGAGCAGCTCTTCAACATAAACCAAGGCCAAAAACAAATCAACTGAATAAAACATATTGAAATAACGAACAGTATTCAAGATCAAAAGTTCATAAAATAATACAAAATAGGAGCAGAGGAACCAATGACTCTCAAAAGATCAGAAGTAAGATCAGATGCCAAAGAGGAGTGGGCATACCCTGCTGACCGGTCACACCCGCCGTGTGCTTCTTGTCGACGTTTTGACAAAGGTAGAGAAAAGAGAATATATGGAAAGATTTATAGATCATTACCATTTTGACATTTCGCATCAAAGTAATTTCCATCACAACCTAAGGTACATGTTCCGTTGTTTGCATGACAGGTTCCGTTTATACAGTTATGACTGCAGGGTCTCTCACAGTCCTCTCCGTAACGTGTCGCTAAACAACCTTAATTTTAAAATAATTTTATATATCATACGTTTACTCAGAAAGTTTCATAAAGAAAAGAATTTCTTGAAAATGAAGCTTTTCTATTACATCAAACAACTAGTGCTTATTGTAATGAAACCCTTACAGACAATCCCAAAACAGCTCCCATCTAATTATCTTTTGTCCCCAATTCCTTTTATACTTCAATCAGAAAACATGACCATTCAATATGTAATACTTAATTAATTTTTCGAAGCAGTAAATTACATAAAATGAAAAATAAGAAATATATAATCGTTAAAGTCAATAAGAATTTAACGTCAAGGACTTTCGTTTTAGTGTTCCGGGTATGAGTGTGTGTCTTTTTTGCATCTGATAAAAATACCGGGTATAACTATTTGTGCTTTGTTTTTGTTTAAAATTTGCATATGTATAATGTAAAACAATAATTCATTGTAAATAATAGTTTCATATATTTTATCAATGTTTTTAAGTTTTATCAATGTTGTCCACGAACTTTACTGACAACCCTCGTACTCATAATTTTTGTGAGTCATTATCTGTATGCTACAGATATCATGAAAGAAAGACATAATTTTGACTCATTATATTACTTTAATTAGGAAATACAAAAACTTATATCAACAAATAATGATTTCCTTTAACTCTAACTAAAACTTCATTATGCCAACAAAGTAAAATTTATCTATATAATATTGCAGTTGCGAAATGCTCATCCCTTGAAGTTCTTTAAAATGTCTTTGAAGATGTCCAGTTTGCTGTTTTAACAAGTTGATCATAGACACTCCTAAAAGATAAGATTTCCAGAAGTCTTTTGTCCCCCTCAAGTACTATTTCAATGTAGAATAAACACAGACTGATGTTTATGCCAGAAAATTTTCACAATGTCACTTTATGCACAAGACATTTCTATGCGCTGACAATCTAGAGCCAATAATGCTTGTGTTGTAGAAGCTACAGGAAGTCCAATAAGGACTAGTAACTTAAGAGTTAACATATGTATACTAACCTTACATAGAGATATTAAGGTACACAAAAATCTTGAGACTTTAGAAACATCCCAAGTAAGTTTTACCTTTGGTCTTGAGGGATTAATGTTATAATAATTTTTCATTAGTTTTGTTATCGGTTATGAGGTTTTTTTTCCATTTGTAACAAAAAAGGCAAGGTATTTACTAACATAGAGCATCTGAGTATTTATTACAGAATAAGAAAGATATGTTAAATATGTTATAACATTCACTTCAGATGGTGAATACCCCGTTTATAATACCAAAATAAACATCTTTTCCAACAGCACTGATATTGTTGGTTTGTTGCTGCTCGTAAAGATGATGTGATGATGTTCGCATCCAAGTTTGAAAGTCCTGAATTATGGGGTGCTTTCCTGATGCAATACAAGGGATTGATTTCATTTTCAAAAGTAGATGTACCTCGCCTGTTTGAGTCATTGTCAACAAATTCTTGTGCCAGGGTACATGTAGTCTGATTGGAATTAAAAAAAAGGGGGAACCGACGTTATTGATGGAAACCATATTTGTGTGTCCACATTGGGATAATGATTAATGGCTTCTTTGACAAAGTCATCAAAAATCTTATCTATAATTCTACCAATCAATTTGAAAGGTGGAAACATATAAGGAAGAAAAAAGGACCATGACATTGTGTTAAAACATCAAGGTGATAAGCTTCTGGATCGAAATATCTTAGTAGAAATTCATTTAGCTGTTTTTTTTTTACCTTGAAGCAAATAAACCTGCATCTGTTAAAAAAATGATCACAAATCCATTCAAAGACATTCAGTGTAATCTGAAAATTTTCTAGATTATGAATCGGTATTAATATTTTCGATGTATGGAATACATTGTGCATAAATTATTAAATTTCTTTCAAAACACAAGTTTCACACTTCTTTTGTTTTTGGTATGCTGTTTAATGTCCCTCTTAAGAATGTTTTACTCTTATTGAGACGCCACCACATGCTGATTGAAATCTGCAAATTTTGTACTATGCTCGGCACATCCGAAGGACCGGTGGGATTCGAACACGCGATCAACTCCTTACTCCACGACTCTAGAGTAGACTCTCTAACCACCACGCCACGCTGGCGACCACTTCAATTGTTAATTTGTCAAGTTTGTTTTAGATTGCATACCACTCATTGCATCAATATATGAAACAACACAACTGCTGTATTATCAGTTTTGAACAGATATGTTTTAAATTGAATTTCTTGTAAGAAGGTTTTAATACAAAAAAAGTTACAAAAAGTTACAAAGTATTAATACGGAATTCCGCTTCATTGCATATCAACCTACCTCCTGCCATTTAAAAAAAAATACCCCTTCTTTTTAATGATGTATCTGATTAAACCCAAAAATAAACAGGATTGGGTATAATTGGATTACCATTTAGACTTCTAAAATTTCTTTCCCACCAATCAATTTCGTTAAGATTGATGTCAGAACAAACCATATAAGAATCATAATCGTCATTCTGCAATTTTAAAGTCGTATCTTTATCCCTTTCTTATTTTTTGAAATACAAAGCAACCTTGCATAATAGCATTACAAATATGTACTAACAAATACAATTAACATTTAACAAGGTCCTTTGCATTTCAGAAAATTATTTCGCTTTTAATCAGGAAGTCATCAATGTAATTACAGCATCTGTCTCCATTCTCTCTGAATACAGTATACACTGGATTAAGAATCTTATTAAATAACCGTGGATATGATAATCTAAACGGTAGTAGTACAAATCTTTTAAATTTTCCTTTTTTTATTTTGAATGTCTTTTCTTTTCGTTAGATCAACTGAGAACAAAAGTCATCTGTGTTTAATTCTAAACCATGTTGATAATTCATGTATTCATTTAAATTCCTCATATTGATAAGTGATCATACACTATCATCCTTTTTTGGTACTAAAAAAAGTTACAAAAATAAGCATCTGCTACATCAAAAATTTTATCAATAGCACATTTGCTGAAAGATTTTCTACTTCCTTAAGAACTAGATATTCCATCATTTTCTCCCTTATCAAATGAAATTTGTTTCGGCATTGACGTAAGTAAGAAATTTCCATACACTCAGTTTTATATCCTGCGTAAACGATATCTATAATAATTTTCTATGATCATTGCCGAAATGTCACCAGTATTCATATTTAGCTTTTTTACCTTTTTTTCCTCGCGCTCATGTACTGTTTCTGATCTTGTCCCCTTTTGGTACTGTTCATGGTCATGAATCTTGACCTGCCTCTGCTTCTATATACAATGTTGTAGCTTTGCACTGGACTGGAATAGTTTGGATTATAGAGTAGAAAGTGTCTGCACTCAAAAACAGGCCATTTTATTATTCCCCCGTAAACGACGTTTCGAGGGTAAATTGATTTTGTCGTGTCCGTCCGTCTGTCTCGCTGTCTGTCTCTCTGTTTGTTAGTCCGAGAAAATTTTAACCTTGCCCATAACTTTAGATGTAGTGGAGCTTTGACTTTCATATTTCACATATGTATTCCTTGTGACAAGACCTTTCTTTGGGTTCCACCAAATTTGACCTTGACCTTAGAGTTTGACCCACTTTTTTTGCACATAAATCTTTTACTTTGGCCATAACTTTTGAACGGTAAATAGAAGAACATTCATATTTCACATATGTATTTTTTAGGCAAGACCTTTCATTGGACAATGAAACCAACAACCTTGACCTTTTGACCTTGACATTGGAGTATTCCATACGTATGAAAAAAACTTTATAACGTTGGAATAACTTTTAAACGGTAAGGGCTAGGGCTTTCATACTCAACAAATGTGATCCTTGTGAAAAGATGTTTCAATGGACACAAAGAACTTTGACCCTTTGACCATAGAGTTTGGCCTACTTTAAAAAAAAATTGACTATAAATATTATAGGGCTACGTTTAAGGCTTTCATATTTTACATATTTACTCATTGAGAGAATACCTTTTCTTGCATATCGAGAACTTTGACCCTTTGACCTTGATCTTGGAGTCTGACCTACTTTTTAAAAACTTTAACCTTGGCCATAACTTTTGAACGGTTAGGGATAGGGTTTTCATACTTCACATATGTAATACTTGTGATAGGACCTTTCCTAAGAAATATTTCACAATCGTATTTCTTGTGATAAGACCCTATTTTGGGTACTGATATATTTAATCTGCATTTACGAAAAGTTTAAGCTTCGCTATGTTACCATACCGGGGCATCAGTATTTCAATAAACAAGTTTTTTAGTTTTTTTTTATATATAAGTTACAATCATACAAAAACATACATAAAGAAAGACAAGTTACAATTATAAATACAATAAAAATATGATAAATTTGAATAAAGATTACGTACATTATACAACTGGCTAGTACTTTGGAGTATTTTTTTCACGTCAGCATAATGGGTTCTAATGTTCATACTGTCCCTTATCATATTTGCAGAGATCACAATTAATTTTATCGTCATTTTGGCAACATTTTAAATTGAAAAAACTTACATTTAAAAAAAAAGGGTTTTATAAACTTTAATATGCATTCTCTGTAAGCACCAAAAAATCTAGGAAACGACATGTCTCGGATTTTGATGAAATTTTCACCATTGGTGTGTCTTGGTACAAAACTAGTAAATATGGTGTCGGAAGTTCCACACGTGCACTTCGTTGCCATGGAGACGGATCCATTGAATTCGGCCATTTTTGGCCCATTTTGACTAAATGAAAACATGAAAATTGAGGAAATATAAATGAATATTTATTGGTATCTAATACACTCTAACAAAAATCATTGGATCATATGATAACATGACATTTTAAGGTACACAGGGCATATAAAAGTTTATTCTAGAAATATTCCTCTTGTAAGAAAAAGGTCATGCAAACTGACATGGTTTCTAAAAATTTGAAAAATGGGGATATTGGAATTTTTTGAGATCTTTGAGGCTAAATAAGAAAAATTGTCCGCGGAAATTTCACAAATGTTATATGTGTATTATACTTGGGAATAAGTAGTGTCATTTCATGAAAAAACATAAGTGGGCTTTTGCTCCTATTTTTAGTAACATGTATCTATAAATAGATATATTTTAGAAAAATGTGTAAAATCACATTTTGGCAAAGTTTAAATTGTAATTACTGCATAATTAGAACGTAATTTGTAAAAATTGAAATTTTAATGACAAGAGCTGGACACCACTAGCTGGTATAGACAACGGTTGAGGGGAATTCCCATTTCTATTTTTAGTAACAGGTGGCTAAATATAGATATGTCTCT